AGTGCTACCAAGGGTACCAAGAGTGCTACCAAGGGAACCAAGAGTGCTACCAAGGGAACCAAGAGTGCTACCAAGGGAACCAAGAGTGCTACCTGAGGAGGTGGGAAGGGTAGTGAGAGGGAGCAAGAGTGTCACTAAGGGCCAGGTACTGCCTTGGCAGTTAGGAAGGGCAGTGAGAGGGAGGAACCGTGAGGGCCAGGGAAGAAGTATATAAAGAACTGAACAGCCTGAGTTGGTACCACACTCCATTATGAAGCTCCTGGTGAGTCCTTCCTCACTCACTCTCCTTATCTCATGTGTCACATGAAACACTGTAATTGTTCTACCAACAAACACAACCTTCAACACAACTTTAATCTTCCAACATTTGACCTTAATTAAGACAATACTCAAATTTCATTTGCGTGACTACGTGGCTGTAATTACCTCTTGTGACTCACCCTTTACTAGCTAATATTTGATACATTGATACGTATAATTGTCCATATTCATTAGCAATACCAGATTTAATATATTGCTAATATTTACATAAATCTTAAAAGACGAAAAAAAATAGAATAATATAAATAAACTCTTAAGAATCTCAGTTGTAAGAAGGTAAATAATTAAGTAAAATTAATTTAATTTTTTAGTTAATATCATTTGCTTGTCTTAATATATTAAAACATACTGAAAATACTCAATATTTTTTTTTAAATGTTTAATATATGCGTCAGTAAGTTCTGGCACTATACTACATGTGTTATATATATTTAGTAATGGTTTACTTCTGTAATATCACAATAACGTTAAAGTATATGATTGTATAATAACAATTAATATAGATATTGATGCAGTATCATTTAGCTCTAGTACTAGATTCCAGTCTGAAAATATCATTACTGTCATTTAATAGTTAAATTTAATAAAATAGGATATACTTATATAAATGATTTACCCCGCAGGTGCTATTCTCGTTCTTCGTTTTGGCGAAGTCAGCCAAACTTGATGGCTATAACTTGCCTTCTCCCTCTGGCCCAAAGTTTGGCCAAGGAGGATGCCAGGAAGGTGAAATACTTCACGTTGACGGTACCTGTGTCACCCCGAAAGTTACCCGAAACCTATTCGTGTTCACCGCCCCTAAACAGGAAGTAACCTATGGAACTCCACCAGAGATCCCACTTCCAAAGGTAAACCACAACATCGTTTTCATTCGCATTCCTGAAGGCGGTCAGGGTCCTGAGCCCATCATTGTGCCGCCGCCCAGGCAGCAGCACGTCGTTTACGTCCTTAACAAACAGTCAGATGAAGCTCAGCGAGTCATCGAGGTTCCAGCGCCGCCGCCAAAGAACCCCGAGGTATACTTCATCAACTATGATGAAGGAGACAACCCGACACTGCCCGACGGTACTGATTTCCAGACTGCCCTCAACTCTGCAGTTCAAGCCGATGGCAAGCTCATTGTTGGTGCTGGAGGACTTACTGGTAACCTGGGTGGTGCTGGAGGAGTTGCTGGAGGCGAAGGCGGTGCTGCTGGTAACCTTAGTGGTGCAGAACTTGTTGGAGATGAAGGCGGTGCTGCTGGTAATATTGCTGGTGTCGGAGGTTTCGTTGGTGACGTTGGAAGTAGCAATGAATTCGGAGGAAACATTGGAGGATCTGTTGGGTTCAACGTCAATATAGGAGGTGGTGGCTTCGGGGAAGCTGCTGGTGTTGGTGGAGATGGTCAAGAAGGCACTGTTGGAAGTGTTAACGTTAGCCTGGGTGCTAGCGTTGCTGGAGAAACAAGCTCTGATGGAAATCTTAGCGGAGATAGTGGATTTGAGAGTAACCTTAGAGGAGGTAGTGAATTTGGAGGTAACATTGGGTTAGGTGGTGGATTTGTTGGCAGCACAGGAGTGGTGGACACCCCTGCTGGAGGTTACAGGCCTCCCTCCAACACACCGCCTGGTTTCTACTCCACACCAGGAAGCACAGGAGTGGTGGACACCCCTGCCGGAGGCTACAGGCCACCCACTAACACACCGTCTGGTCTTTACTCCACCCCAGGAAGCACAGGAGTGGTGGACACCCCTGCTGGAGGCTACAGGCCACCCTCCAACACACCGTCTGGTATCTACTCCACCCCAGGAAGCACAGGAGTGGTGGACGCCCCTGCTGGAGGCTACAGGCCACCCTCCAACACACCGTCTGGTCTTTACTCCACCCCAGGAAGCACAGGAGTGGTGGACGCCCCTGCTGGAGGCTACAGACCACCCTCCAACACACCGTCTGGTATCTACTCCACCCCAGGAAGCACAGGAGTGGTGGACGCCCCTGCTGGAGGCTACAGGCCACCCTCCAACACACCCGTCTGGTCTCTACTCTACGCCATAAGGCAGTTTCCAAGTTTTCCGAAAATGATCCTTTTGTTGCAATGAGTCTTAAGCACTAAAAACTTAATTTTCCTCCTTTTAATCCTATATATTTATAAGAAACCTGCATTTTGCTAACTGTCTAGCAGCTTCCGAAATAACGAATGACAAATTTTAAAAATAAATATTTATGATTGATCGTAATATTTCATATTCCTGAGCCACAGAGTATAAACACTGCTTTCAAATACAACCTTATTAATTATTATTACTGATATATTTTCCTCTCTATATTCAAAATATATTTCATATCATAGATACACAAAAGAATACAAAGAAAATTCAGAGAGTATTTTATTTTTTTTGTCTTATGTGAGGATTCATCAGCATCATCAGTTGTTCTCGTCTCTTCTACTCAATTCCTAACTCTCTTCCGTCCTTCATGTTATTCATTTTTTCCATACCATTTTTTCTCTGTGTGTGTATGTGTGTGCAGAGTCCTAAGCCAAGGATTTTACAAACAGTCTCATCACAGTAACAAGCGCAGCCACTCATTACTCACGGCAATATTCCTTACAGCGCTTGTCTCAAGAAACTCTTGTTAAGGAATCATTTATTGTTCAAATTCGCTTTTTATATGAACCGACGTCACGAGAGATTCGCAAAAACACTTATGCATCTTGTTAAATCTCATTAATGTAGATGAGTGATGGACGTGTGATCTTTGAAGTTAATTCATCAAACTGTCCTGGTAGTTCGATCCTCGGGCAGAAGTGTGGGGAAAATCGCCACACTGTGGCTGCTCCCGTTAGCCTAGCAGGAATTAGAGAGCTGTTGTTAAAGGGCTGTTATTGGTCTCATGCTGAGGTTAGAATACCTGTATGACAGCAACTGTCAGGCTATGAAACATTTTGAGGTAAATAACTCTTTGTCGAGAACAAGAGACAGACAATCTCGATGGAAAAAAATTGTACCCACCAATTATCTCGGTCTCTCAGACTATTCTCTGTTTACGAGAAATAAAATATTAATTTCGTGTACTGACACCGAGCAAGATAGTAATCATCGCCATAGTCTCTCCACATAAACAAACATCACCATAGTTACTTAACATACACAGCAGTCTGGTAACTATGACCTTACGTGTTTAAAGCTTCCCCTTAATAATAATAATAATAATAATAATAATAATAATAATAATAATAATAATAATAATAATAATAATAATAATAATAATAATAAATGCCAACATTGTTCGTCCACATTTTGGTAGTTTACAGTCAGAATTACAGTAATGCACTAATTATTGATTTATATTAAGTGGTTAAGAGACTCACCCCCTGTATGGACATGTGTGTATGTTTGTACGTATGAATGTATGCGTTTCACCTATGTTGTGTGTGTGTGTGTGTTTTAATGTTTTGCTGTTTAAGTTTTTTATTTACCAAGATGTAAGAGGAAAGCGAAAGTTGGAGAATAAACGTTCTAGGGAAAGTTTTTCCCTCTACTGAGAAATGTATAATTCTCACTAGCCGATGAACGAAACTGTTCCACTTGCGAATGTATCAACCCCTTCCACTGGCGAATGCATGAAAACCTTCCACTGACGAAGACATTCACAACAACATCTGAAGACGTCAAGCAGACTATTATGATTCCATTTAAATCCCCAGTCCACCATGATGCCATAAACGGGGCGGTGTTTACCTCACAACTTCTGACTTGACACTGGAACATTTATTTATGAACTTACGCTAAAAAAAAAAATCTCGGTCCCTGACCCACAACTCGGGTGACAAAAGATGTTCTTGAACTAAATCGCTTGTGGTAGGATACAAACCTTCTAGACACCAAAAAAAAAAAAAATGAAAGTTGTCTGTGTTGTGAGTATCAACCCAGATCCTCTTTCCTAGCTGGAGGTCGAAATGTGCACACATGATTTTTTTCCCGTTTTTTTTTGTCTCCTTGTGAATATGCTCATTAATTATTATGCTCATTAATAGCATAAATTTCAAATATTTAATGATAGGTCATGGGCCGGGCCGCGGGGGCGTTGACCCCCGGAAAAATGATGAGAATACGATGTTGTCTCCGTTGCTGCAATGCTGTGTACTGCTTCAAGGTAATTCTGTATACTGCTTCAAGGTAATTCTGAGTACTGATTCAAGGTAATTCTGAGTACTGCTTCAAGGTAATTCTGAATACTGCTTCAAGGTAATTCTGAATACTGCTTCAAGGTAATTCTGAATACTGCTTCAAGGTAATTCTGAATACTGCTTCAAGGTAATTCTGAATACTGCTTCAAGGTAATATTGAGCACTGCTTCAAGGTAATACTGAGTATTGCTTCAAGGTAATTCTGAGTACTGCTTCAAGGTAATTCTGAATACTGCTTCAAGGTAATTCTGAGTACTGCTTCAAGGTAATTCTGAGTACTGCTTCAAGGTAATACTGAGTACTGCTTCAAGGTAATACTGAGTACTGCTTCAAGGTAATACTGAGTACTGCTTCAAGGTAATTCTGAGTACTGCTTCAAGGTAATACTGAGTACTGCTTCAAGGTAATACTGAGTACTGCTTCAAGGTAATTCTGAGTACTGCTTCAAGGTAATTCTGAGTACTGATTCAAGGTAATTCTGAGTACTGCTTCAAGGTAATTCTGAGTACTGCTTCAAGATAATACTGAGTACTGATTCAAGGTAATTCTGAGTACTGATTCAAGGTAATTCTGAGTACTGTTTCAAGGTAATTCTGAGTACTGCTTCAAGGTAATTCTGAGCACTGCTTCAAGATAATACTGAGTATTTCTTCAAGGTAATTCTGAGTACTGCTTCAAGGTAATTTTGAGTACTGCTTCAAGGTAACAGTGAGTACTGCTTCAAGGTAATTCGGAGTACCGCTTCAAAGTAATTCTGAGTACTGTTTCAAGGTAATACCGAGTAGTGCTTTATGGTAACAGTGAGTACTGCTTCGAGGTAATACTGATTACTGCTTGAAGGAGGTCGTCAGTCCTTACACACAGAAATTCTGTTTTGCTCAACTTCGCCACAGAATATGTCTGTTTACAAGTGCATGTTGACACAACAACTTTACAGACAAACTTTAAACACAAATCTTGAATTTTGGGAATGTCCACCAACCAGGAAACGCCAGTAACTTTAGTTGCTTCAAAAGTAATGGATCACATTGTTTTTTGAAGGAATACGGTCCTCTAGAGGTTAACTGAACCTTTGTCAACATCAACTGAGACAGGAGAGGCGACAATAAACATATGTTTGGTCGTTCAGAAATCGTGGAATCTCAAAGTAAACTCGTGAAGTAAGTCAAGTAGGAACAAAGAATATCTTTTGAGTGCTTCGTTATGAAGAACAAATGTCATGATATTGTAATGTAACACGTGTGCAAAAAGATTCTTTTGCATGAAGTCTTGAATTGATTGCTCCTTCACCTGGGTCATGATATCAACGATAAATGAAAAATCAGAGAGCTATTCTACACCACTCAGCTGTGGAAATATTCAACATCGACATGTTAATGAATAAGTCATGATCCAATCATATCAAAACTTCAACTGCTACTGCTGTCTCCTGTGTTATATCCACCGCAGTGGAGAAAGCAGCCTGTCTGCAGGCGAAACGTGTCGGTAATAAAGATGTCGAAGTGTTGTACATGTGTCCTATTTATCAGTTTGTGGAAAACTAAGCTATAATGCATATCTAATCTAAAAAGTTATGCTAAATGCGTGAAGTGTAGCCAGGACTTGCTGCTATGATTGCCCGAAACCCGCTTATCACGTAATTGATTCCAAGGGAATTCTTTCTCAGACACTATAAATTTTCTTAAATTTGAAGACACAATAGCGGGCCGTATAGTTCCTTGGCTCGCGGGTCGTATTTTAACCACACCTGATATAGGCTGTGAGGTGATGGTATCGTCACAACCACAATCTAGGGTTCCTATCGTCTGTAAAAATGAAGACCTGAGGATCTCTGTTTCCTATTTGGGTACACCTCGAGGTACTACGAACACTACTCTTTGGGTACGCCTCTTAGTGCCCACCTCACATGTATCCTCTTCCTGTGACACGCATCGCAGGGCACTCACATGCGAAGTCACGCAGTCTTATAAACAACAAGAAGTGAATGGAAGTAGGACACCACGATGTGATGAGCTGAATATTTAAGTAAGGCAGATCCCCCACCACTGTGGTCCAGCAGTTTGTTGCTAGTCACTGAGGGTGTCACTAACACCCAAGTCAAGAGACATTTTTACGGACCTGCAAAAATACGGCCCTCCCATTTAGCATCATAAGACGGACTTTCTAAGAGCAGGAGGCTGTAGCAAGTATGTCTGGTAGCTGACCCTGAGATAAACACGACACCATAAATAGATATAAATATATATAGGGTGTGTTGGAAGAGTCACATGACATAGCAAGACTTGGACACGCCATGCTACTCCAGCGTCGGTAAGATGAAAGCCACTTTAAGGCACATCTTGCAAAACAAGCTCATATTAGGACAACGTTTCGCTTTGTGCAGCGCTTAATCAAAACAGTTCCAAGCATATTAACTACGCTAGTTAAATGGTAAATTTGCGGGTACGCAGCTTAAAGTTATTATGTATTATCATAGTTTCATGATGCCTCAGCCATTGAAGATTAAACATGTTCAAAAAAAGGCATGATTAAGTTATCTAACTAAAAAAAATGAGTTCCAAGATATTTTAAATATATTAAACATCTGAACACTCCAATAAGAGTCCCAGTAATATTTTAAGTAGAATATACCACTGAAAGTTTAAAGCTGATCAGAAGAGGCTTTCTCAAATTATCAACGGAAACCAATATAGACAATAGTGTGCATAACGCTGACCAGAGGGCTCCCGCACGCAACAGTTACATGAACGTTCCTATAATTACAAAACATCAGTGTTGGAAGTTTGAAGCCGATCAGCTCTGGTATTCTTAAGTTTTTACTGAATACTTTGGAGGGAGACAAAAAATGTTAACCACTTAATAATAATGAAGAACAACGTATTATGAATTCGCAATGACTGCAATTTGCATGAAAAATTTCTACAGATATTCTCTAAATTATTAGTTACCATGAAAAAAAAAATCTGCAGATAATTCTACTTCGCTTCATATTTTCTGTGCTCCAAATTATT